TCCGTAAGTGTCACATGTTGTGCAGAGCAATTATAGTCGCCTTAGTGGCATCTTAGTCGGGCGTAGTAGCGAAAGAATTGACGAGGCGCGCGTAGTGGGGATCGTAGGAGATCGAAAAAAAGGAAGAAGCGACGATCTACGTCCGATCGAGTCGACGCTCTTTCGACGGCGGATACTACGCGAACTAAACGCGACGATCGCGAGGCCGTCCGTCTCCCGTTACTTGGCGACAACGATTACGGCCGGAATATGATAGGTAAGATAACGGGTGTTGGATTCTCGAAAAGGAAAAGAGCGGCGGGTAACGATCGGCGGTGCGCGACGGAGGAGGGGGGAGAGCACGACGATTGGATAGATTTTCGAAAGGCGGGAACAATGGTGGTTGGAGCGAGCGAAATTGGATCGCGTCTGGATGCTCGCCCGATAAAAAGCGAATCGTTTTCATCGCTGGTGGACGGTCGGAAGCAGAAACAGCAACGGGAGGGGGAGAGGGAGAAGAGGTTTGGCATTTGCAAAAAGGAGAAAAAAAAAAGACGAGACTCGATTTCGTCGAACGATCCTTTTTTCTCCTCCCCCTTCCCCTCTTCTTCCCCGCCGACGCTTTCGATTCGATCGCGAGTTTCCCGTTCGATCGAAATCCGCGATTCGAAGGAAGAGTAGAAGAAAAAGAGTAGTCGGACGAAACCGATTGGACGAGTTGGAAAACTCGTTTCCTTCCTTCGCTCGATATCTTTTTCTTCCGGCCCCGGGACAATGGCGGGAAAAATTGAATTTCGCCCGCCCCACCCCGCGCGGATAAGCGGATGAGAAACAAATTGGCCGAGAATCCGTGAGGGGGAGTAGAGGGGGAGGGGGCGAAGGTGACCGAGCGGAGGAAAAATAAAAGGAGCGTGAAGGGGAAATGGGGAGGGGGAGAGGAAAGGGATCGGTTGCCGCAGGGGATGGTTAAAGAATGGGTCGTCCGTCCCCCTCCTCTCTGTCTCTCTCTCTCTCTCGGTTGGTCTTCTCGGTAAACGAGAATGTTTACGCCAAGTGGCGCTAACAACGGCTATTATTAAGGAAAATCTTGCTCTCCTCTCTTCTCTTCTCTTCTCTTCTCTTCTTTCGAAAAGAAAAAGACTCGGTCGTCCGCGCGACGCACGCCCACCACCTCTCTCCTTTCTTCACCTGGATGGACGCATTTCGCCGACACTTTTCTCTTCCTTCCCCACTCCCCACTCTTTCTTCTCCTCATCATTCGTGGTCGATTCGAAATTGCCGCGCGAATTCTCATGGAGGAGATAATAACGAGAGAGAGAGAGAGAGAGAGAATGATCCCAATTCGATGTTAAGGATCCGGCGTCAAGTGAGTTAAGGAAGAGCAACGCAGGAGAGGGAGAGGGAGAGAGTCTGGATGGAAACCGCGTGTATCGCGGTAACGAGCGGAGGGAGGGAGGTGCGCTCCAGACAGAATAAATTAATCGAGAACGAAGCGCTGGCAGAGGTCCAGTTAGCCGCGTTTCCATGGGAGTTTCCTCCCCCTCTTCCCCCGTCCCTCGAGAACGAACGGGGGACACGCGTTCTCCGAAACCCCCGTGGTTCCTTGGACGAGCGAGCGTCGAAACCCCTGTACGACCTCCCCTCCGAGAGGGAAGCGTGTGGATCACGGATGGCCGAGCGGAAAAGCAATGTTATCCGCTTCGCGAGGCCGCGACTCGACCGAGCGAGAATCGCGTGATCCGATCGTATCCGTTCGATTACGAGCGAGATGGGAAGGAAAGGGATGCTCCTGCTCGCCCTATTTTTCCACCCCTCGAAGCTTGTGGCCGAGGATTTTCCACTGCCTGGATCGCGTCGCTCGCCACCCTCGTCGGAACACGGCTGGAGGATCGACGGAAGGGGAGGGGGGAGGGGGGAATTATTGAAACGAGTCGGATTGAAATTTCTCGAATTTTTCATCGAGAGGAGGAATGGGTGAGAGAGCGTCGTTTATCCTCCCCCCCCCCTTCGAAAAATCCTTTTTCCTTCCTGGCGAAGGATAAATAAATAAATAAATAAATAAAGGGGATAGAATTTTTTCGCGCAATTTTGCCGGCGGGGCGGGAAAAAAGAGTAAAAACGAGTAGGAAGGAAGGAAGGAAAGAAGAAGAGGCACTTGACCGCGACGGTGAGTCGCGGTGGGAAAGGCGGGGAGGCGAATAAGCGACCCGGGATATCTACGCTTTTTTTTCCCTTCCTTCCTTCCTTCCTTCCTTCCTTACTTGCCGAGCGAGAAGGGAAAAAAAAAGTGGGAGGGGAAATCGAATCGCGCGTTGTAGTACGCGCGAACCTGTGCCTTCTTCGTCGGCAAGGGGACCGAGAGCGGGGGGGGAAGGGGGGAGGAGAATGGGAGGGAGGAGGGAAAGGAAGAGGAAGAGCGGAAGCGAGGCTTTTCCCGTTAATCCGTGGCTAGAGTGGAGCTGGCGTTGCGTATAGACGAGCGCGAGATTCGCCGACGTTTTCACGTTTCTCGGCCCATGCGAGATACGCGGCTCGCCTTCCTCCCTCCCCCCTCCCCCCGCTATTCGTTTTCAATTTTCCTCTTCCTCTGCCCGTGGTTATTTTCGTCTTCCTCCCTCGCTCCTTCTCTATCCTTCCCCCCCCTCCCCTCCCCTCCCCCACCGCCGTCCCCCGATGGTTGGGATATCGGTGGCGGGATCATCGACGATGTTTCTCCTCGTCGAAGGATCGATCGTAAAAATTCGACGTTCCTTTCCGTCGCTCGTATACGCCGTAAAAACGTGAGGAAACGCGACAAAGACAGAGAGAAAGAGGGAGAGAGCGAGAACAATCGATCTAGGAAAGTTTTTTCTCGATTGGCTCGCGTTTGGTGGTAAACGATTTCGATGAGTGGAGAACAATTTGATGGATTGGTGAATTTTTTAATTGGAAACGCGATATCGATCGTTCCAGACGTAAAAAAAAAAAAAAAAAGACAACGTTATCATCGTTAATTTCTCTTCTCGCTCGAGCTCTTCCCGATTTCCCGTATGCGCGCAATTTCGAGCGAGGAGCAGCCTTCGCCGAGGAAACGTCTCGATTCGTTCCGCTCGTGAACGGATGCGGCGACGGCGACGACGACGACGACAACGTTGTCGGTTCAACGGACGACGATGTTTCAAGGAGAAGGGAGGGGGGGGGGGAAGAGAAAGATCGTACCGTTTTCGTATCGCACGCTTCTCGAATCGATCCATTTGCATTTTCATATTCGAGGAAAATATTTGTGCGCGCTTCCCTTCTCCTCTCTCCTTTGCTCCCTTCATCGATGATTTGCTTTACGAGCGGTCGTGTCGAATGCGCGAAAATATCCCGTTCTTTCTCCTTCGCGAAAGTTTTCAAAGTTTCGTTCCACAGGGATCAACGATCGAATTCCTTCCTTCCTTCTTTCCTTGTTCCTTCCTCCTCGACGATATTCGTCCGAGATGTCGAGGAACCGAGGGAGGGAAGGTTCAAATTTACGATTACTATTAATACTTTGAAAGATTCGGGGCGCGTGCCGCGACGCGACGCGACGAGACGCGACCGGGATGGGATGGGACGAGACCGAGTGAAATCGGAGAAGCGGGGTTTTTCTTCGAGAAAACGTTATCCAAGCATCGGGATAATATTGTAATCGCGGCGAATTGTTGGCGATCGTAACGGTCTTGGTCGTGGTGGTGGTCGTCGACGTGGTCGGTGTTCAAAGACCGAGCACTTCAGACTTCCGTGTTTACGGAACGCGAGCGACAGCTCGACGGCTCCCTTTTTTCTTCCTTGTACGCGATTCCTTCTCCGCCGCACTTCCCTCACCGCCTCTCGCGCTCACAATTCGCGCTTTGCCGACAGAAATGCCAGCTCGTTCGCCTCTTCCCTCTCGCCTTCGTTCTCGCCCTCGCCTTCCCCTCCTCCTCTTATCCCCTTACCTTTGCCCTCTCCCTTACCTTCCCCCATCCCCTTTTCTCTCCTCTCCGTTTTCTCCTTACCGCTCTTAACCACCACCACCACCACCACCACCACGATCACTACCACCACTACCACCAACACCATCACCCGGCCGATTCCAACTATTTTTTTTCCTTTTCCCGCGTCAACATCGCGATCCTCGTTTCCGGGACCGTGTTCCCCGCGACGCGAGAAATACATGATTTGTTACGGATCGACCGCGATCCGAAGAATTGATCAACCTGTGACCGAAACGATGAAAGTGAAAAAGAACTGTGGAAACGATTGGACGGGACGCAGACGCGATCCTCGTCGCGGAATGAAAAGGGGGAAGGGCAGAGGGAGGAGGAGAGAGGAGAGGGAGAGGTGAAGGCGAGCGAGCGTTCTTCGTAAAACGGTGGAAAGCATCCTTCGACCGTGACTAATGGAACGAAAAGATGGAGCGATTGTCGAGAGAGAGAACTAACCAGCGAACCAAACTATCGATCGGAAAAATTACAAAGAGACTTCTGGTTTCTTCGCTTCCTTTTTTTTTCTTCTTTTTTCCTTGCGCCCCTTTCTTTTTTCCCTGCCGATTGATCGGTCGATTGAAAAGAACCAAGTCGGTGACGCGAGAAAACGAGATCCGTTTTATCCACGATGATATATATATATATATATATATATAACAATAGACGATGGCAAGATACGGTTGGTAAATTACTCGAAATGGGATCGAGTCCTAGTGGGACGAACCTAGGAGGCGCGACGAGCTTTTTCCATTTGAAGAAAAAAGTAACGATTAACGCATCGAGTGTTATCTCATCTTCGCCTCGTTTCCTAACCGCGTTTGAACGTCTCTCGAACTAGGAGCTCGTTCCTTCCACTCTTTGTTTCTCTTTGCGTTTTCCCTCCAATTGACCTAGTCGCGTTTATTATTGATACATATTTCCAAGCCGATTATTAAAAGAAAGGACTCGAATTTACCTCGAGATATCTACTTGGAATCGTTGAACGCGTAATCCATCCGCTCTCCTTTCTCTTTGACTTGATATGTGACTTATGATTTCGCTTGTTCGCAGGTAAATGGTCAAGACGTGTCGAATTCGAGCCACGAGGATGCGGTACGTTGTTTTCAATCGGCCCAAGAGCCGATCATCGTGGAAGTGTTACGACGTCAGCCGCAACAACAACAACAACAGCAGCATTACCACGGTCACCGAACGCATTGTGCTCAAGAGGAGAAAGAGTCGGAGAGACGAGAGCACGGAACGAGCAGCAACGCTTGGCCGAATCTCGTCTCGACCGCAGTGCAGACCGATTGGGCCGGGCTTATCGAGACCGAGGAAGAGGTCGTGGACGAGCAACCGAACGACAGTTTCGAAGATTTCCTCGCGCACGACATCGACTTTGAGGTAAGTAAGGAAAGATGATGGTAGGGGGCGCGCCACTACACGATCGCTCTTCCATCATCCGCCACACGAGTTTGGCGCAGTGTTCGCGCATCAACCGAAACTTGAAAAAGTTTATTGGTTAAAAAATTTCCAAAAATCAAATTCTCCTTGAATAATGAACACGTTACTATCATCGTACGATTATTATCTTATCTCGAACGACAAATTATCGAGGTAAATTTCGTTCGTAAACTTCGATTATCAAATTTTGCTCATCGACTGACTCGATTAACCGAGTTAACGGTCCCGATTACAGGAGGTCACGTTGCGGAAGACGGGCAGCGCCGAGAAGTTGGGGCTCACCGTCTGTTACAGTTCCGGTTCCGGGAGCGAGGACGCCGACACCGAGGTTTACATCTCGGAAATAGTTCCTGAAAGTTTGGCGGCGCGCGACGGCCGATTGCGGGAAGGCGATCAAATCCTCAGGGTAAACCCCCACTGTCCGACCCCCACGAATCCGAGTAGAAACCGAGTTCATTCGATTACCAACCGCCTTCTCTAATTCCAACCTGTGCGCCACCCTTCTAATCCCGTTAAAGGGGATCGTAATCGGCGGAACAAAGACTCGGCCGAAATCGGATCGAGGAACGAACGGATTTCCCCTTCCTCCCCCCCTTCTCTCTCTCTCTCTC